ATGGTTAATTGAAGTTGTGCAAAAAAAAATTTTGTATTTGGTGCATGAGGTAGTAGCAGCAAAAGTGATAGCGTCACTATTAGTTGTAATAGTCTGTGGCCGATCTATGGGGGGTACAGGGATCCCTGCCCCCAACAAACAGACCTTTAAAAGACATTATCGAAGTTTTAAAGTTTTTGTGTTAAAAAAGGTCATCAACTTATCACCTCTCACCTCTTACAGAAGCTGGATTAAGCAAAGAAAAAATGTAACCTCATCGCAATAGTAGTAGCAGCAACAGCAGCAGCAGCAGCAGTAGTAGTAGTAGTCAGTAGCAGTAGTAGTAGTAGTTGTAGTAGTAGTAGTAGTAGTAGTAGTAGTAGTAGTAGTAGTAGTAGTAGTAGTAGTAGTAGTAGTAGTAGTCAGTAACATTAGCAGTAGCAGTAGTAATAGTAGTAGTAGCAATAGTTTTTAGTAGCAGTAGTAGTAGTACTTGCAGTAGTAGTAGTAGTTGGCATTTTTTTAACTTTTCATTCTAGTCTAAAAATTCTAGACGGCTGGTGTGATCAAAAAGAAATTTGCATTAAGTTCAACAGCATGTTGCATCTTAATTCTATTAGCTTAAAAGATAACCGAGAGAAAGTTATTGACAAAAAGAGAAACTTAAATGACATTTTCTGAATAATAATAATAATAACAATAATATGAACATTTCTATAGCGCTATACATCCAGATATGAAAATTTTATAAAATCAAATTTTTAAAAAACTTCAAAGTTTTTTTTCCACGATAATAACCTTCAAAGCAATCGAGTCATGATGGACGATGAAATTTATTATGACTTTTGTTATTACTGTTTTTATTATTTTTAAAATTCTAATTATTTTATTATTATAAATATTATTATTATTATTATTATTATTATTATTATTATTATTATTATTATTAATGTAATAGTTCAATCAGCGAAAGTGGATAAAACACGAACGAGGCAGTTATAAAATGTACCAGCAATTGCTTTTTATGTTGTTGCAGTTGCTGTTGTTGTTGTTGTTGTTGTTTGTTGGTTGTTGTTGCTGCTGCTGTTGTTGTTGTTGTTGTTTGTTGGTTGTTGTTGTTGCTGCTGCTGCTGTTGTTGTTGTTGGTTGTTGTTGTTGCTGCTGCTGCTGTTGTTGTTGTTGTTTGTTGGTTGTTGTTGTTGCTGCTGCTGCTGTTGTTGTTGTTGTTGTTGTTTGTTGGTTGTTGTTGTTGCTGCTGCTGCTGTTGTTGTTGTTTGTTGGTTGTTGTTGTTGCTGCTGCTGCTGTTGTTGTTGTTGTTTGTTGGTTGTTGTTGTTGCTGCTGCTGCTGTTGTTGTTGTTGTTGTTTGTTGTTGTTGCTGCTGCTGCTGTTGTTGTTGTTGTTTGTTGGTTGTTGTTGTTGCTGCTGCTGTTGTTGTTGTTGTTGTTG